GAGGGCTCTGTGCAGGTGGTTCCCCTCCTGCTCAGGGTGCTCCCCTGGCTGGGTAGGACTGGGTGCTGYGTTTGCCCTTCCCTGCAGCTCCTTCAGCCCACGGGGACTTCTCCCCTCAGCAGGGGCTGCCCGTGCAGAGGAAGGTCCGAGACCACCATCTGCTGGAGAAGTCCCGAGCTCAGGATCGCTTCCCTCCTCCCTCCCCACCCAGGGACCTTCCCCMAGCTCCCCACGGGCTCTTGGCTGCAGCCAGAAGGGTTCAGAGCCCTGACGGTCTCAGGAGCATGGGGCTGCCTGGGTTCTCCAGCTTGGCTGCCCTGCCTCACCCCAGATGGTCACCCCAGAGCCTGCAGGGGCCAGGGCTTTGCTCCACATCCTYCCTGGCAGCACACACTGCTCCTCCGTGGGGCTTCTGCTTCCTTCTACTGGGTTTGTTGCCTGGGGAGGAGAAAAAGGAAAGCTTTCCAGTTTGGGGATGGAGCAGCAGCACTATTTTCATTTAGTTTCCCTGCCCTGTTAATCTGGCTACCCATTTTATGAGTAACCTCCAGAATCTGGTGATAGCTGTTTATGGACTTATTCAAATCAATGGATTTCAYATAAAACTGTTCATTTAAGGTGGCAAACTCATACAGCTGGAGAACAGAATTGTACTAACACTGTTACAAGCCTACAAGGCAGATACAGGCAGGGAAATCCTGACAGAATAGAGGTGATTGTCCTTGGARGCACTTATTTCCATTTATTTCTCTCAAAGACACTGCTGGCTTAGACTGGACACTGACCAGTGGGTGTCAGATGAGGCAGAGCTCAGCGTGGTGTTCTCACTTCTGGAGATTCAGAGTTGGTAAGAACTGCCAGTGGGAAGCTCCCTGAAAATGCTGAGCAGAAGATGCCTCAGGTTTGGCATCTGGGCAGCAAAGAACTCCCAAGTGGTGTCATTTTCCTCCTGCTCAGTTTGCCCATAAACATGCACTCTAGTTCTGTAAATACAAACTGGGGGCAGAAAATCTTCTGACTTTCAAGACTCTTCTGCAGGTGGATTCTCTGAAGGCATGAAGCACTTGAGTGGCAWGGTTGGGTACTATAAAATAGGGAATACAGCAAGAATTTCCCATTAKTGCCAGGTTTGGGAGTCAGTGTGCACATGAAAAAGGGAAGGGGGATATTCATAATATTCATAATATTCTAATATAATAATATCCAATTCTGTATATTCTACAATAAGTCTATATTCCATAATAATATGCTATCTGTAATAATAATACTCAATTCATAATATTCAATAGAACAGGGGGAACCTGCTGTTTCTTGGAAAAAGTTATCCCATCCAATCAAAAAATTGGTGTGATTGTTACCCTGGCATGAGCAGTGGGGCCCCTGGACCTGTTCTGGAGCTGGGCTGGGTAACAACTCCAAGCTGCCGTGAACTGACAGAGGAAATCCCTGTCTTGGGCATGTGTGGGGGTCACTCTCACTGCTGGCAGCCTGGCCAGGTGGTACTAAAGGAAATTGAGGAAGGGATGCAGGAAGTGATGCTAAAATACCTGAGTCTCTTACCAAACTTCTGAATGTTTGCTGAAACTTATTAGAATCACATTTATGTAAATTTGCATATTCATTTTAGAGATTATTTCTACTTCCATAATTAAATAATCAATGGGAAAAGGAAACAGCTCCTATTTTCTCCAGACCAAGAGGAGGTTTTTGGTTCCTCCTTTGAGTTAATATGTGTTTAGTGGACTTCTCATGGCATTGGAYCAGGTCCTCGGATGGAAAACATAAATGCTTGCATTTGACTAAACCAGTGTTTCTTGTTCCAGGATGCCAAGGGACATCCTGTGTCCTTGCAGCAGTGGCCATGTCCAGGTGTCTGTAGGGAGATTGCTGCACCTCTGTAGCCCTTGTCTGTCCTTTCCAGGCACACGTACTTGGAGAAGTTCCTGACGGAGCAGATGATGGAGAGGAGAGAGGACGTGTGGCTGCCGCTGATCTCGTACCGGAACTCACTGGTGACGGGCGGCGAGGACGACAGGATGTCAGTGAACAGCGGCAGCAGCAGCAGCAAAGCCTCCTCYGTCAGGAACAAGAAGGGCCGRCCTCCCCTCCACAAAAAGAGGGTGGAAGGTTGGTGTGGGCTCAGGGCTTCGGTGTTCTGGGCTCTCAGGAGGGTGGGGTTTGCCAATTTGTGCAGAAATCCATGACACGTGCTGGATGGGGCAGAGCCACGGCATCTGTTCTGMAAGTTCTCGTGGGGCTGGGTGTGTCTGTAGGGGAAATGCCACCACAAACTCCTGCTCTTGTTTGCTATGACTGAAACTGGCAATCAGGACTGTTAAAGCWGTTCCTGCTGCTGGAAGAGGTGTTTGTGGAGTTGCCTGCTCTTTCTCACTCCTGGACTGCTGGGTTTCTGCCTGTGCTTCCCACTGGGCAGTTCTTAATTCACAGGGAGTTGTAACAAATTCCAGGCAGAAATTCTGATACAGATCTCTGTTGTTGCAGAACCATTGAGGAGCACTAAAAGACACCATTTTTGTTTACAATTGGGCTGGTATCTAATGTCTGCATTTAGTCTTTCTGGGAGCTCAGGTGTGTTCATCAGGAATCTGGCTGTGATGGCAACTTTCTTACACAGCTGCTTCTGTTTCTGGTCAGGCTGTGGTGTGGCCTTCTGTGAACATTAATTTGCTGTTCCACTACAGAGTAGGTGTAAATGGGATCTTAAACTTCAGGGGTTTTCCAAGGCCAGTATCTATGGTAGTAAGCCCTCAGTAAGGAATTTAGCCCCAATTTGCCTGAATATACAGTAATTTCCCAAAATATTTGTCAAAAGTTTGTCCATACAGCCATGTCCATTCTCCGCTGCAGTTCATGTTGAGCAGTGCCTGTACCAAGTGCTGTSGTTTCTTACAGCCAGATTCAAGTGTAGGTACATAAAATACAGGCTCCTTTCCTTGGGCATCGTTTTTCTTCCTTCAGGATGCCAAGCTTTTCACAGAATTCAGCTACTGAGATTTTTCCTCTTGTTGCCATTTTCATTCTATTCTTCCATATTTTACCAATATCCTTTTTTTTTTACCATGGGAAGTGTGGTAGCTTCTTTGCTTCCCTGTAAAGCAAATCTCAGGCTTAAGATGTAGTTTTTAGGCTTTGTTTGCCTCATATTCTTTTGTGTCCCCCTCTTTCAGTGATCAATAGAAGGGAGAATTTGTTTCCAAGACTTTCCATTTGAGAATCTCCTCTTTTTTTGGTTCTTCTATTTCCACTCTAAAGGATCTAGAACAGGAGAAAGGTCACTGCAGAAATTACCATGGCATCAAAGAACCATATCCAGCTCCCTCTGGTTCCTTTCTCACCTAAATCCAGCACAGACCAGCTTGGAGAACATTCCCTGTTTCTCCTGAGAGGAAATGTGCTCTGTGACATTTCTTCACAATGCCTTAAGGAAATCCATAMGTTTTTTTAAAAATAATCCCGAAATTCAATAGTAAATAGGCAACTTTTTAGACAACATTTATGCCTAAAGGGTAGTAAAAGGCAAAGGCAAAATGAATAGATCCATGGAGATCCCCATCTACTTCCTCACCACACATTTCCTGTTAGATCTGTGATCTTGTCATCTCCTGCCTTTTACTGAATTTTTTTCAGCTTGTCTTGGGCTGCACATTTCCTGCTCCATCCCATTTTTCTCAAGTCCTCCCTCTTCTCTCTGCTTTGCTCCCTTCCCAATGAGAGCCCAGGATCCCGCTCAGACCTTCAGTCATCCTTACATTATTATCAGTGAGTYGTGTCCTCTCCCTGCTCCACTCCAATGGTTCTGACATCAGAAGATCTGGGCTCACCCAATTTTGTGGTTTGTGCTCCACCTCATGTTAGTGTTTAACTTTGTCTTGATGGCTGTAGGTGCATGGGATTAACATATTCAGCTAATATGATAATAACAGTTCACAATCGTATTTAGATTGTGAACTCAGAATTGGGAATTCCTTTGGTTGTTTATGTGCAYGATGCTCAGCTTAGAGGCTGCACTATGACTTTGTTTGCAATGGGCTTGTGTTTGTTCAGGATTTCTACTTTAAATTGTTGTTATTGCTAGGAATAGCTGGCAGTGATACTTAAAAGAAAAAGTCTAAGACTAGAGCTGAAAACCTCATCAGTGCATGCATTCAGGTGATCCCTTTGTGCACGCTTGTGTGAGTGATGTCTTGCTCAGAAGCCAGCAGTGATTGCAGTGTCCTCTTTCCAGATGAGAGCCTGGAAGGCTCGTGGCTGAACAGGAGCGAGAACATCCATACTCCAGGGACACTGCAGCCACCTCAGCTCACCTCCACTGTGCTGAGAGAGAACACCAGACAAATGGGAGAGCAGATCCAGGAGCATGAGTCGGAGCAGGGGTCTGAACAGGATTTTTTACACAAGTAAGTATTGGAATTTCAGCATCAAATAGAGCCAGTCAGGCAAAGAAATTGTTTGTGGTTTTACTGGTACTCTTAGCCTGTGACTCCAGAGATGCACTGCTGATGYGCAAAGCCATCTGGAAATGCCTTGGCTACAGCTCAGCAATACTTGGATTATCTTCAGGTCCGAGGAAAAAGATATTGTAATGAAATTCCTTATGTTAAAACTCTCATAGCACAGGCAGGCAGTTCTGATTAGATCCTCCTAGTACCTGTGTCCCAGGCTGGCTGGAGCTGTTTCTCTAGAAGGCCTGTAGATATTCTTTTTGCTTTCCCCCTGCCCAAGGTCAGGGTTAAGGTTCTCCAGACACCCTGACTGATCTTTTCTAATTAACTCTGCAATCCCATTCCAGCAGCTGAGCTAGTAATTCCTGGTTTGGGATAACTGCCCTAAATTATACATTCTGTTTGTCCTTTTGCTCCCATTTTATCCCCTCCATGTAGAGGTCAAGCATTGGTTATTCTGTGTCAGTGGTTCCATGGCCATGGGTGCTGCCAGCAGGGGCAGGTGAGCATGGGCTCAGTGTGGGACACAACAGCACAGCCAGGCAGAGCTCTGCTCACATCCCCCCAGAGCTCCTCTCCTCCTTGGTCCCATGGCTTGGGAGGGCTGCAYTCATGGCTCCTGCTTGCCTTTCTGAGGGCAAGGATCTGCCTCCCATCTCCTGCCCCTACAGGCATGGTCAGAACTTCCAGGTGATGAGGAAGATGTTGAGGCTTTCAGTTTCTCCTTCAGACTTTCCTACAGTGCAGTAAAACCAGATTAAACTTGCTGGAGGAGAACTTCCTTTCTGTCTCTCTTTGATCTCACCCATGACTCAGCTGAGCCTCTCTTTCACCATTCCATTACTCTGGGAGTGGGACAGTTTCCCAATGCTGTGGTTTCCTTCCAAGCCTGATGAGCAGCTGCCTTAAGCTCTGTGTTCCTCTGTGACCCTTCCATGTTCCTGGGGGAGCTGAGCAGGCTCTTGTCCAACACCTAAATCCCCTAACTCTGAGCACCTCTCTGCTCCTTTCTGAGAGTGGGATTCCACATGGAAGTTCCCAGTGTGAACTGACAGTTGGGAATGGGAATCCTTCCCGTTCTGCCCAGGCTTGGCTGTCACATTTCCTCCAGTCAGTTTAGGAGAGCTAAAACTTGCCAACTACAGAGCAGTGAGCTGCTGAACTGCCAGGTTAATCATATTCAGAAAGTGGTTTGGTTCTACGTTGTTTTCCTGTGGGTTATCCCCGTTTATCCTATCAGTCTTATCAGCATGCAAGGGTACATAGTATAGTAAAACCTGGAGTTGCTGCAGAAGAGCTGCACTGAGTTTGCTGCTGTTTCCTTGTGCTGCGCCTCACAAATTGTAGCAGAGGCATTGCTGGCTGTTGGCATCAGCAGTGCAGCCTGGATGTGGGTCAGGTAGAGGCTCYTAAGTTGGTTCAGGGTATTTGTGTAAAAGCAATTTGTTTCTCAAGTGGTGAGGCATTTTTGTTTTGAAAAATGTCAGTTACTATTTTGGATCTACTCTTGCTCATACTTTGCTTGACCTTGCACAGAGAAGTAGTATTTAATAGTAACAAATTTTAGAGTTGCTCCCCTCCTGCCTGCCCCTAAAAAAAGGAGCAATGTCAGTGTTTTCCATACCTGCTTTTGTTGCCATAGTTAATTAATTTTTTTCTGCACATGCAGTGAGAGGAGACAAGTTGTGGAAGAGAATCCAGAAGATGTGTTCAATGACAGATGTGATTAAATTATCATAATCTGAAGCATGGCCAGACACAGAACCTGAAGATAGATATTGTCCCGAAGTAGGCAGCTCAGAGCYATGTCTGCTGTCAGTCCTAATGTGCTCCCTTGTGTCAGTCCCCAGATGCAGATCTCCTGGCTGGGCCAGCAGAAGCTGGAGGATCTCAACCGCAAGGACAGGACAGGAATGAGCTACATGAAAGGCAGAAGTGGCGTAAGGCACGCAGTGTAAGTGCTCCCTGCCCRCTGCCCCAGCAGAGCCGTGTGCAGGACACCACAGAAATGGCACCTTTGTTGCTGGCTCCAGCCATTTCTGTGCCATCTCAGCCTGCTGCTGAAGGCAGAGGCACAGTTTGTAGAGCTGCTGGATCCAGCCCAGCCCTGCCCTTCTCTGGCTGTGGCCAGGCATCAATGCCCAGTGACGGGGTGCAGTTCCCCATTSCTCTGCCCCAGCCATGTCAGGGGCTTCCATGCTCTGTGTGTGTCATTCCCTGTGAGCTCTGCMCACAGAACCTGCTGCTGTGTCTGTGCTTCTGTCCCGTGTTGCCAAAGTGTCCCCCTGAGCAGCAGTGGAGTGAACACATGTGGAGGGAACACACGCTGGGGTACCACGTGCTCTGTGCTGATCCCAAAGAGTCCTTCAGCAGGGGGCTTCAATCCTCACAGCCTTTGGAGCTGGGCTTGGAGGCACTGCTGGAGTCCCAGGGCTTTGCCAGTGATCCTGGCCAAGTGTCGCTCCTCCTTGSCAAAGGGCCAGCAGACACAGAGGAGTTACTGCCCTGTTCTTGTTGGGACACCTTCGATTACTGTTCATAGTGCTGTCAGTGGAACTTGCTGCTTTAGCCTGGGCTGGGACTTGGGGGGGTTTAAATCCCATTGGTATTCCAGAGAGCCTGCTGGCTTTACCCTCAGCATCAGGGTTTGGGTGAAGGCATCAAGTAATAGGATTTGAGCATTCTTTTTAATGACAAAGATTAGGGCTGGAAAAGTTTTCTGTCTGGAAATGACTCTGTCTTTATTTAATCAGACGAGGTCTAATGGAAGATGACGCTGAGCCCATCTTTGAAGATGTAATGATGTCCTCACGAGGCCAGCTAGAGGACATGAATGAAGAATTTGAGGACACAATGGTCATTGATCTGGTCAGTAAATCTTATCAATGGCAAGTTTAAAACAGTTGAAAGCTAATTTAAAAGTTTTAGAAGTGTAAACAAAAATTTCCAAAATTTTGAGCCTGACTTTTGTTTGAATGTTAAAGAGTGGAAATGATGTGAGCACTCCCCAGAGGCTCCAATTGAAAGTTCGAGCCCAGTCTGTTTCTGTCTGTCCTTGCCTGGTCAGACTGACACAGCCAAAGGGTTTCTCTCTGTCCCTTTCCTGGTTGGTTTGATTTTGCAGAGGTGGACAGGGGATCCTTTGTCAAGGTCTCAGTATGTCACAGCCAGAGTCCTGCTGGCACAGCAGGAGGTAGCACAGGCACTGGTAGGTGGGTGGCAACAGCTCCCAGACAGGTCCCATCATCAGTGGCAGCCTCAGGTCCCTTCAGGTACTGTCCTGAGTGCAGGCAGAAGTTCTTGTAGCCCTTACAGCCTTGCCTGGCCTCCCCTGGGGAATGGCTGCTTCCTTGTGCAGTGGGATAAAGGAGCAGTTTGCTTTACACACCTCTCCATTTTTATGGCTTTCTGTTTATCCTTTCATATCCAAACAGCCAGCCCTAGGTGAYGTTAGGACTGGGCTTTAATGTCTTGGAAGGACAATTTAATTGATGATTCACTTGCAGCTGCTGCATACTGAGGTTATTGCCAGCACTCATGTGATTACCAAATAACGTCCAAGGCAAGGAAAGGAAAGAATTGATCAAGCCAGTAAGGCTGACGTTTACTCTTGTGCACCTGGGGAAGGACAACGCCAAGGGCTTAAGCCTCAGAAATATTACAATATCTTCAGTACCTTTTTGTTGATAAATCAATTTTTGACAGTGTCAGAGCTCAAAGTTCATGGTGAACTTAAAAGAATAAGGACAGTTAAGAGGGAGTTTCTGTGCAGCCTGGCCTACAGTCCCRGTACAGAAATGTCCTTAAGTCAGCAAGAGCCTTGGGCAAGTCCTTAACTGTGAGCAGAGAGTTAGAATTCAAATCCATCAGCATTTACCATCTTCCTTCAGTACCRAGGAATTGAGGTAGTGCTGTCCTGTGCGAGGGCTCAGCTTTGCCCCAGAGGTTGAGTGACCCAGGGAGGGTGGCTGAGGGGCAGGCACGGGTGGCCCTGTGTCCCCTGCTGTTCAAGTCCCGTGTGTTGCAGCCGCCGTCGCGGAACCGGCGCGAGCGTGCGGAGCTGCGGCCGGACTTCTTCGACTCGGCGGCGATCATCGAGGACGATTCAGTAAGACCCTGCTCCTTCTGCTTGCTTTGAGCTCTGCTCTTGTCCCACCCATGTAACTGCTGTCTTCTCCCCCTTTTCCAGGGATTTGGCATGCCCATGTTCTGAAGTCTGGCGAAGACCTTTTACAAACTTGGAACTCTATTGTTTAGAGCTAGAGGCCTATATACTGTGATAGCTTGTATGAAAACCACATTTTCGATGTGATACGGTTTGATTTTTAACCAAATGATTGAGGTCAACCCCTTGGTGTAGTGACGGAGAGAAGAGGAGCTTCTTAATGACACACAGGAATGTTGGCCAATCCAGTCACMTCAGAAGGGCTGACCTAAAAAATCATTTGTATCCCTGTTCTTGACTGTCCTAATACGGATTTTTTTTTTTTTTTCTGGATGAGGAGGAAGTTTTAAATTGTTAAGACAGCTGTCAAAATAAACACTGTTCTACATACGTTTTCTGAAAACAACATGGAGTGAAAACAGAACTTTTTAACTTTATTTTTCTGCTGTACAATTTAAAACAGTTTTAACATTTGCCTTTTTATGTTTTCAAAGCTAGCCATTTTTATTAAACCTATGCCTATCAGCCACTGACTAGCAAGGCTGCTGTAAACAGGTCGTTCTGGCTACGGAAAAGTGTTTTGGAACACACTGGATTTGATTAACATTATGGTACGCTTATGTCCTCTCATAGGCATGGAGAAGAACACTCTCAGAGAAGAGGTTAGAATTCTAATGACGTGCATCTCTGCCAAAAAAATTTCAGATTCTGATATGATAAACCCAGATTTTATACTCTTGAGAAGATTTATTTTTATTTATAATGGGACATAAAGTAAGAGATGTCCATGAAGCCACTTTTCCAACAGATGCTGTGTAACATTCATTTTATATAGCACATGGGGACACAAAAACAGTAAATTTTCTATTGGTACTTGCTCTGTGCATTTTTAGCAACTTATACCAGCAAATAAAGTATTGTCAGTAAAACACACAAATGGTTCTCAAGTAATCACTTTGCTGTTTTTACTACCTACTTCAAGCCTGCCAACACGAGGTACATAAACAGCAACTTTCCTAKTAAAAAAAAGAATAGTTCAAGGGTGGGGGAAAGGATCACTTTAGCATACTAAAAGTAATTTTAACTGTACCATAAAACAGAGTCTACTTTCCATGCCATAAATACCCTTTTCCGCTATTTTTGTAAATTAATTTTGCCAGTTAGAAGTACTGTATGTGCTGCATAGAAATTTGTGCTTAGATGGTGAAGTTCTTAAGCTTACAATGGAATACAGCTACATTTTCAGTGTTAACTGTGCATATTGAGAGTAATTCTTTGGAAAAAAGTATGATTTTTCAAAAAAGCTAAAAACATGAAAAAAAATCCAAAAAGCCCCAAAACATTCTCAGCTAATTCATTGTACCAAGATATTTTTCAATGTCTTCAATAATTTGGAATTTCATTATGCTTCAATTTTATGACTTAACATAGTAGCTGCTCCTTACCCGGCCTGGCCCCAGCAGTGCTGGCCCTCCACAGCTCCACATCCCCGACAATTGGTCCCAAAACCTTCATCTTCTTTCTGCACTCAGTAGCAGTTGAGATACAAAGCAGACTGACCCACTTGGAGCAGAGCACTTTCACAGGTGCTTTAATTGTAGCAACTGCAGAATAATCACTGAGCTTTTTTCTGTTTCGAGCTTACTGGAAACCAACCCAACTCCTGAGTGCCCAGAGCGGGCAGGGAAAGCCCAAATTCCGCCAGCCCAGCGCCTCACTCCGCTGAGCTTGGCTCTCACAGCATGTGCAGTTCTCAGACATGGTTGCCAAAAATGTTTGACCAGGTAATTCAGCCATTTCTCCGTGTGGGCTGGGGATGTATTGAGCCCAATAAGTAGCTGGAACTTTCTAAATCTTGTTCCTTCCCTCTGTGCACCCGCAACAGCCCATGGGTAGGAATGGCTGCAGGACCTGTCCCAGGATCATTCTGTGAGCATGGTGGCATAACAGATGCTGCCCAGTTTGAGTCAGAGTCTCAGACAAACCTTTGTGCTTCACAGTCCTCTGTGTGGAAAACTGATTCCTAATTTAACATTGTAGAATACTGTATAACAAACATTTATTATCATGGTACCTGCAATGGGTCTCCAGTTCAGTTTGCAGTCAATAGGTTTTTGTATTATGAGTGTCTCCTTGATTGGTTTTGCTAGTAATTCTGTAAATTGTACATTTACAATATGAGGTTTTTTTTTTCCTTTTGTACAATTTAAAACTGATGCTTCACCTTTCATTTAATAAACTATTCAAAATCATGAGTATGATGAGCACCCTCTTCACTATAGCTTTCTTTTAAGTGCTTGTTTGGACCATCACATCTTGTCATCCCATTTATTAGTAGGAATTCAAGGAATTCAAAGGCAATACTGAATAGCTTTCATGTAGTTCAGGCTTCACAACCAGATCAGTACCCCACCCCCCTTGCCCACCCAGCCTCAAGAATGATGGAAAACCCTCTCTGGGCTTCTTTCCGCCGCCCCTCCACCGTGGTGTGTTTGGGTTGGGGAGTGGGCAGGGGAGGATGAATGTGAGATTGCTTTAAATCTGGGAAGGGCCCACAGCAGGTGCAAGAGTTGCATTGCTAAAACTTATGACTTAGGAGGTTTGAGGAGAACACTCTGCTGCCCTGTGTGTCTGAAGTAAGCTGAAGCCTGTGGGAAAAGCTTGGAAGCTCTGACAAGTAGCTRGGCTAAAGGAAGTTGTACAGATTCCTGAAATAAAATGTCCATGTTGCTCCCATGGCTCGGGGAGCAAGGTGCTCTTTTTGTCCAACCCATGAATGATTTAATCTCTGTAGTGCTAAAGAAAACTGACTGGTTTATCACCTGGCCCACTTTTAAGGAAACATCACTGGAGTCAGGAAAAGGAACAAGATGCAGCAGCTGAGGCACAGGGATATTTCAGTCTCACTGAAAGCTCAGTCTCYAGCTGCTTGGAAGTTATGGCAACTCCTGCTGCACTGAGGAACACAGTAAGTAACTTGCCTTGCTGCTAAGTTCAAGGGCTGCTCACTGTTTAAAGGATTTTATTTTGTACCTCGTTTTTGTAGGTGACTGGAATTCAAGAAAATCCTCAGYAGCCTGATCAGAACAGCTTTTCAGCATGTTTCCAGCATGTCCTGGTAGAGCAACTGACTGGCTGGAAATGGAGAGCATCTAAAAGCCCAATCCTGTTGCTGGCAAGGGATGGGAGAGAAGATGGAGTCTGTGGCCATACTCAGGTTAGGAAACAAGTAACAAAGCTGTATTTTCCTCTTTGTGACAAATGGGTTTATCATGGAGTCTCCTCCTGACTGGGCAGGCTGAAGAAGCTGAGGAAGCTGTGGGTATGTCCCTTCACTTATCCCACCTTCAGTCTCCAAACCAGCTTTACCTTTGGGAAATGCTCTTGGGCATTACCAACCTCTCCAAACCCCGAGAGTTTGCTCAGAGTAAGAGCTCACAGCATGGCCACGATGTCCAGCAGTAACATTTCAGTTTACCTTGCCCTGTTACTGCAGCYGGCTCTGTTCCCTGGGACAGCTCCGAGAGCCTGTCCTGCTGAGGCAGAGACAAGGAGGCTGATGCAGCTCTCCTGAATGTGCTGCTGTCAGGACAGCCTGTGTGCCTGCAGCCTGAAGGTGCTGCCTTCCATTCATCGAAAAACCTGGGGAGCTGGGACTCCTCCTACTTGAAATGCTCCTTTTATACTGTATTTGTAGATGATGTTCAGCTGTTGCTTCTCCCCCTCTGCCAGGTACAGGCTCCAAGCTCCACAGCTCTACTCACTGCACTTTCCTGGCAAGAAAAGCTACCTGGCAAGTGGCCCTCCTATCTCCTTCTACCTCCACCATCCTTCAGGCTCATGCTGAGGACTGAGAAGCAGCAGCTGCAGTGCAGGTAGGGAGGCTGTGTCTCACAGTGAGGTACTCACAGCAGCCGGGTCACCACAGCCCCTCCCGTGCCTGGCAGCTGGTGCAGCAGCATTAAATGTGACAGTGGCTGTTCTCACTGCCTTGGGGCTGCAGGGAAAAGGCAGCTTCTGCTGAGCAGACGAGCACAGGCCCAGGGCTGATCAGAGAAACACCTCCTGCAGCAGTTCCTGCGAGGCTGGCAAATAATCCCAGAGAAAYGAGGCTGGAAGGGGCCTCTGGAGGTCTCTGTTCCAGCCTCTGCCAAAGGAACAGGATTTGCACGTCCCACGACAACTGCCCTTTTTTGTTCCCTGTCCCTAAGAGGAGGCTGGCTGTGCCTACCCTGTACTACCCACCTGTGCCCCCAGCCTGGGGCACAGAGACCCAGCAGGGCCCAGTGCTGCTGTGGCCAGCAAGGAAAAGCTGCCACAGGTCAGCCTCACAGAGGAACAGAACAGCTCAGTGTGGCACAGCACAGCCTGGACTCCAGGGCACTGGAACCCAAGGTCAGTGTTCTCTCTGAGTCAGTGGTACAGGAAGTGCAGTCAGACTCCAAGGTCCATGGCCAGTGGAATACCCTTGAACTCCACAGGGGTCCAACTTCCCAGCGGTGGGAGGCTGCTCAGCTCTGCCTATGGAAGCCACATCTGGGGCCTATGGAATGAGGGAGCCATGGGAATGTTTGACCTTGAGCAATTAGTAATGGCTGGCCTGCAGCAGGCAGGGCAGGGTGTGCTGAGTATTAACCACCAAAAAGGGTTTAGAGAGRAGAGCTGGTCAGATCCTCAAATTAAACATATATTATGTTTTATTGATGGATATTGGCAAAATCAAAATGAAAATAACTATTTTTATTGCCAAGCAGACCTCCATTAACCAGAGGGTACATGTTGAGGATGTCTCCCAGCACGGGCAGCTCCTGCTCACGCTCACAGTGGGATGTTGGCATGTTTCTTCCAAGGACTGGACTGGGATTTACCTGCCAGCACGTCAAGGTCATGGCAGATGCGCATGCGGGTGGTCGAAGGCTGGATGATGTCATCAACAAACCCTGCAAAAGATGAAAACAAACAAATTCCAACCTGACCAACCATGAAATGTTTGCCTCCTGGCCTTCTGGATCYAGGCTGTAACATAAATTAGCAAAATCAAAACAATGGTTGGAATAAATAAGTTCACAAGTTACAAATTAAATTTCAAATAGCCTGAGAAGGAAACATTCCTGAGTCATTTTTTAAATTTTAAATGTAACTTGCCTTTTAGAGCACAGTTACTGCTGCAAAGCTGGAAAGTAGAAACAGTGGAAACACTTGCTTCTGAGTGTTCTGGAGAACATAACTGAACTGGACCTTACTCTTTCTTTCAGGCCACTGCTCTGCACTTAGGGCTGTCAGACTGTCAAAGCACCTGTGCTTTGTTATAAAAAAGGCTGAATTTTGAGATGCTTTCTATCTACACAACTGCCCCTTTCAGAGCAGTCCCCACTCTTCACCAGGGCTCTGTGCAGCTGAATATGTGTGTTGTGTCTAGATGCTGTCCTTCACATGCACAAGCTGTTGTTAAGCATTGTCTTTCTAACTCTAGATCCAAGTATCTTACCTAAATAACTTGTTAGCAACAGATTTACTCAATAGCACAACTCTGTCTCCATGCAGTGGCAAACCAAATGGGATACAGTGTGGGAGACAACCATACCTCTCATGGCAGCAGGAAAGGGGTTTGCAAACTTATCCACRTATTCCTCCTCTGCATCCGCCTCCTTTCCTCTGAAGATGATCTGGACAGCACCCTGGGAACAGAAGGGCCCGGGTAAGTGACAGTCCCTCAGCCCTCTGCCCTGCCAGCCCTGGCCCACCTCAGCACACAGCCGTGCAATTCAGGTGAGGGCTGGGGAGCATCCCCCTGTTGATGGCACCAGGACACTGGTGCTGCTGGTAAGGCACTGGTGCTGCTGGCAGGACACTGGTGCTGCTGGTAAGGCACTGCTGCTGCTGGCAGGACACTGGTGCTGCTGGTAAGGCACTGCTGCTGCTGGCAGGACACTGGTGCTGCTGGTAAGGCACTGGTGCTGCTGGTAAGGCACTGCTGGTGCTGCCAGGGCATCGCTGCACCACAGGGAGAGGGGCCTGGACTCACCTTGGCTCCCATCACGGCCACCTCGGCTGTGGGCCAGGCGTAATTGGCATCTCCTCGTAAGTGCTTGGAGCTCATCACGTCATAGGCACCCCCGTAGGCCTGCAACAAAACCCAGGAGATTCACACCAGGAGTGCCTCGCAGCAGCAYCAGCCTACACTGCTCCTGCAGCTTTTCCTAATCCAGAGACAAGCAACTGGGGCTGAATTTTACCTGAARGAGAGCAAGAGCATCTCCACTTTGCTGCAGCAATCTCCTAGAATAGGCACCACTAGAGCCCCAAGAGAGCAAGGAGGGGGGCTGCTGGAAACCAAGCCCATTCTGCTAGGCGGGCAGGGAGGGGTCAGTGTGCATCCAGGCCAGCAAGCCTCGACCTGCACCCTGCACATGCACACAGGCCAGCCAGGCAGTGTTCTGGAATTTCCTGGCCAGAGAATGCAGCTCTTGGCTCTGCAGTGCTGCACTCTGGAACTGGAAATGCTCCAGACAGCAGTGATGAACAGATACTGCAAATAGTGATGCAGTCCCTATCAGGGCAGTGCTGAACACTGCAGCAAGGCTGCAGGATTGACAAATACAGCATGGAAATACTCRGAACAATCAGACAAGGCAAAGGAACAGAAAGTTATTTTTGTTTTTTTGCCATGATAAACCAAAAGCCTATTAAAAAAAAAGCTGGAGGGGCAGAGCAGCAAGGAGAAGGTTAAGGCTCTAAGGAGCCAGCCCCAGAGCCTGTGGCAGCAGGATGTCAGGTACCTTATGGAGAAAGAGTAARGAAGAAGATGAGGAAGAGCATAGCAGAAGTCTGGGGAGGAAGAGAAGTCMCTTGAGCATTAAACCTGCAGACAAAGCAGAAGACAGATGCAGCCACTGCTGCGTTTGCAGAGGGAGGCTCAGGAGGCAAGAAGGAGAAAGCATTAACTGTTGCAAACAGATGGCATGTCCTTAGTGAGACAGGCTGGGTGATATGGGACAAGTACTGCAGTGAAGGYATTCCAGGGAAAAAGCAGAGAGCAGAAACTGGAATTTCCAGAGGAGTGCAGAGACTAGAGGAAGGAACTGAGGTAATGGTCTGGGAGCAGAAGAAATGGTCTCTCATAATGTGGTACAAAGAGGAGTTACCAGATGGGACAAATGGAGATGTGACACTAAGAGAAAGCACAGTGGGACAGATGGACATAGCTTGGTGTAACTAMAATTGTCACTAGTGGAAAGACAAACTCCAGAAGAACTGCACGGAATTGGCCAGCTTACCTT